GGGTGCCTGGGTGGCTCAGTTGTTAAGCGTCTGCCTTTGGCTCAGGTCATGATCCCAGAGTCCTGGGATCGAGTTCCACATCGGGCTCCCTCTGCCTGCCGCTCCCCGGCTTGTGCTTGCTCTGTCTGGCAAATAAATAAAATCTTAAAAACAAAAAAACAAAAAAAAAAAAGGAAAAGGAAAGGAGTTATATTAGAGAGGTATGATTATGGATTATTTTTTTGATTTCCATAAATATTCTATCTTCTACCACTTTTTTCTCGTTTTGATCTCTCAGAAGTTGGAAGTTTTTTCCAGCTGTCAGGATCCCTGGTTCTCCATTTACTTGCCAGAAGGAGGCCAATGCTGACGGAAGTGGTGGCTCCCACCGGAAGGTTCGGAGCTGTATCACTGAGGGACACCCAAACATCAGTATCTCTACATCTTTTTCCTGTTTTCAGTTCATTTTCTCCAAAAGAGTATGCATTAACCTTCCGGAGGGAAGGGGAGGTAGTGGGTACAACCACAGTGCCAGCACTTAGAGGCCATGTCAAGATGCCTCACTCCTCCATTTGTACCCTTTGCTCTTAGCCCTGTTCTCAGTACACCACCCCTCCACTGTGCCCCAGAGCTCCCGCAGGAAGGCCCTCCTGGTTCAGCCTCTCAGAGAAGACATTCTAGTATTAACCAGGGAAGGGGTGGTCTCCTGACTGCACATGGTGGTGGAGAAGAGCTGAGTGTCCAACTGCTCCTTCAATCACTCCTCCCAGGTGTCTGCCTTCAGAGACACCTGGTATTTCCAATTCCTAAGCCTTTCCAGGATTCTATGGCAAGAACTGGCTGTTTCCTGGAGTTGTCTGACCCTGAAGGCATTCAGCATTCAGCCTTCAGCTTTCACTGATCAGTTGAGTTCATCATTACTCAACTTTCCATCTTGAAAAATGTTATGAACATTGTGTTCCCCTTTCCTCCTCTTTAAACTAATAATAAATTCATGACTTTTTAAAAGTCCCTTCACTGATATTTTATTGGGGTTTCAGAAGAAAGCAAAGATAAGCACGTGGGTTCAATCCACTATGCTTGAGAGCAATTCCTACAAAATAAAATTTTTTTAAATAATTTCTATTAAACTATTTTATGCCGAGGAAATGTGGTTAAGCAAGCGTTTCACCTGAACTCGACAAGTCTCCAGTCTCTTTTCTACTCTCCCCAGAGCCACGCTAACCGGCTGCTGTGTGTGCCCAGCTCCTCCATACCCTCCGTGCCCACCCACAGCGCTGCGGGCACAGGTGGTCTGCCCCTCCAATGCAAACCCACGCTCCCACTCTATGCTCTTGATCCTAGAGCCCCCCCACTTCCCTGGGCTTTCCGGTCAACTCTTTTCCCGTGTGTATGTGTGTGTGTGCGCGCGCGCGCGCACGAACACCTGCCTCTGCCTTCAGTCTCAATCTCCAAAGGCTTCTTCCCTCATTTAAAAAATTGTAAAAATATTTGTAAAGAGACTATAATTGCCTTCCACTGGCGACAATATTAGTAGAGTCGTTACTTCAAAGAGGCCTCTTGTACAAAACAACTAGTTCTTGGCTAAAATACACTTTTTAGTGCATTGATGGGCTTCCAGAAAGTAGAGGAAATCTCCAGGGACCCTTGCACCATAACCCAAAAGAACAACCACAGGTGAACAAACTGTGGCTTGAATCCAGAGTAAAATACTGAGCAGTAAACAAACTTGAAGGGTAGGGTGACCCTGACGATGAATGCCAATACAAAGCTGCCAATACAAAGCCATGCCACCAGCTTGCCACTGGGAAGCTGAACCTGAGCTGTCACATTAAACCAAGAACCTCTAAAGGAGGTTAAATGGCCTCAGGTGATGCAGTCTAGATCCCTCTAGAAACAAATGCAAATACTTCCTGTATTTGGGGCCTCAGATTAAGATGAATAAACAAAAGCTCACAATCAACATCATCAAATACATAAAGAAACAAACCACCATAAGTGTTTGCGGAAACAAATTACAAATTCATACCCCTAAGGACTTAAAATATTGGATTTGTGAGATACAAAATGTAAAATAAATATTAGTTATTACCTTGGGGTAATGGGGGATGATACCAAGACAGAAGACCGTACTCACATTGAAGGCAAAGGGAAAACAGTCACAATTTTATAGTCCTTCACAGTTTTGCCTAGGGCTAGCTTTGTCCCCTTTGACTACTCTCAAAGGCATGCAGTAGTGGAAAGAGTTATATTTACAAAATGATACAAATTCCCTCTAGCAAACAATCTACTACCATGCCATACATAGCCTGTGGGGAAATGTTCATGTAGGACATCCTCACAAATTTCTATTACAAATGGGGCACTTACGCAGAGTTACATGACCCTCATAAGGAAGGCTTCACCGAATGTGCTGGCAACATCCATCTCATCACAGCAGAATTACAGTGAATTGGCCCCAAAAAAGTCCTCAAATTCCTCAGCTGACTTTGCTCAGCTGTTTGTAGATGGTGCTCTGCTTCTGTCAATTCAACCTTCGAACAAGCCCTACTACTGTCTACTCTCTCAACCCCTGAGCCAGTCTCCCCCGTGGTCTCCTGCGCGCCTGATTCCGAGATTCACATACTAGCTGAGAAACAGATGTTTTTAGGTACTGCATAGTGATCTCCCTTTTTTTTTTTTTTTGCCATTTAACAGAATCTATGCAATCATTTAATTTCATTACTCTATAAATTGTAAAAAGATATTAAAAGAAAATGTAAAAGGACTTACACCAGCGATAAGTAGAAATCTCAAACTAACAACATGTATGACTAAAATGAAAGTAATTACATATGCCAAAAATGGGAAGTGTTTAACCTTAAAAAGATATTTACTGGACTTAAAACTGGTGGATCAACAGTAGACTCAACTGTAAAGGAAAAGATAAAACGAAAGAATGTGTAATCCTGAACTGCTAACTCCATATAAAAAAAAAAGAGGACAATCTGTCAGTGCACAAGACAAAATTACCAATATCAGACTTCACAGATGGCTCTTTTGGTGAGACAAGCATCTTGATAATGTGGCCCACGGCTGAAAAAGTGTTATTTTTACACTGCTCTCACTTTAGGTTATGTAGGATGCACAACAAAACCATGCTTCTAGGGGCACCTGGGTGGCTCAGTAGGTTAAGCATCTGCCTTCAGCTCAGGTCATGATCCTGGAGTCCCGGGATCAAGCCCCACATCCGGCTCCCTGCTCAGCGGTAAGCCTGCTTCTCCCTCTCCCACTCCCCCTGCTTGTGTTCCCTCTCTCGCTGTGTCTCTCTGTCATATAAATAAATAAAATCTTAAAAAAAAAAAAAAGTGGAGAGCGTAGGTACAAAGAGGGTCCTTCTGGGCCTCAAAATAAATTCAGTGTATCTCTGAAGTGCATCAACTTACTCAATGGTATGCATGACAAATAATTTTACATTAACACAATATTATTGTATTTATTTTAAAGTACAGTGCATGCATAATTGTTTTGACATAAAGCAAAATAAAGTGTTGGGTTTGCAGGTTCTTGGCTGGCTCAGCTCTCAGGTGCCATGGGGTAAACATACACTCCATTCTTGCTGCTAGACCTTCCATGGAAAGGTCTGATACTCCCCAAGTAGGGCTGGTTTTGGCAGTTTCAGCACCACAAAAAGAAAGTCCTAGCCTTACAAAATTAACACTTGCAAGACACAATTCTGATTAAAAGCTCTGTTTAGGGCGCCTGGGTGGCTCAGATGGTTAAGCGTCTGCCTTCGGCTCAGGTCATGATCCCAGGGTCCTGGGATCGAGTCCCGCATCGGGCTCCCTGCTCCTTGGGAGCGTGCTTCTCCCTCTGCTTCTCTCTCTCTCTCTGTCTCTCATGAATAAATAAATAAAATCTTTAAAAAAAAAAAAAGCTGTTTAAACATCAGTATATGTTTAACAAATATAGATTATCACAATGGCAAACTGAACACATTTATTTTTTAAAACTCAAAAATCAACATATAAAGCTCTAGGTAGGCAAAAAGCCTAAAGAGGACAGAGATGTGCTTTGAAAAATGAACCCAGGAATCTTACGAGCAACAGTGCCTTTGCCCTCAAAGAGAAGTTAGCGTGAAGGGTAGGTGAAAAATACTATATTCCCCATATTTCATTTAAGAATCCCAATCTGCCCTTCTACTCTCTCGGTTGTAAGTTTTAATGCTAAGAAAACTAAACACCATCTTGAAAACGACAGACCCTCCTAACTACTGGCAAAAAAAACAACACAAAACTCCAGCAATATCATGAGAGAATGGTAACCTTTCCCTGTGTCTTCAGGAAAAGACCACACATTTCAGCATTGTAAAACTGTCCTTAAATGTTATTTCTGATCAAGTAGTCCCAAAGACCCAGAGACTGTTCTGTCCTATGAAAGTAATCTTTAACATTTATGAAATCTGTAATTCTGATTGGTTGTCTCCCTCAATGTATCACCCTGGTAATAATACTGAAGTTGACATCTCTGTTTTCTGAAAGGTATACTTTGGTTTTTAACTTTATCTTCCATATGCATGGAAGTCAAAAGTAAATAAAAGTTTCAATCCTCCTTGCTTTCTTATATAAAAAGAAAAAAAAAGAAATTGAGAGTCTTGGCTCACTGAAATTAATATAGGAGAAAAAAGAGTGACAGGGCCAGGTCATTTAGAAATGAAAATTATAAAAAGAAAAATAGAATTTTCGGGCGCCTGGGTGGCTCAGTTGGTTAAGCGACTGCCTTCGGCTCAGGTCATGATCCTGGAGTCCCGGGATCGAGTCGCACATCAGGCTCCCTGCTGATCAGGGAGTCTGCTTCTCCCTCTGAACCTCTTCCCTCTCATGCTCTCTATCTCTCATTCTCTCTCTCTCAAAAAAATAAATAAAATCTTTAAAAAAAAAAAAAAGAAAAATAGAATTTTCAAAATTCTACTTTTATTCCTCAAATTTATCCTTCTATGTCATACATGCTATCCCTAGGACATCTTCAAAGGCAATACTTACTGTAACTGCCAGGAGCCTTTTCTTCATAAGTAAAATGAAGCTGCAGTTCCTCTTCTGACATCTCACAGATGAACGCTTTCAGCAAGCAGCAAATAATGAACAAAGCATTGTGTGTCTGCCAAATGAAGATGTGGCTGCAAGGGAAAAACCAAACTCACACAAGAATCCATATTTAATCGAGATCGTAAGCACTATCTAGTTCATGATTTCTCAAGCATTTTGCCCATTCTGCTTATAATATAAAGACAATAACTATATCTTTTCATGGCTCGTGATTTATTACACTATTCCAGTCTACGTCATGTTTCATTCTCTGTATTTTACTTAGTGAGTCAGCCTAATAAAAATGTTTTCCTTAGGCATGACTGCTCTTTGTTCTTAACTTCATACTTGTCCCACACACAGGCAGTTCAAAGAAAAGTGAAAAAAAATTTTTTAAAGTATACCAACATAAAGAGAATATATGCAAGCACACAACCAAAATTTTAAGTAGGGCACTGACTGTCAGCAGCCCAGTACAATACTTGCTATTTGTATTAGTAACCATGAACTCAAGAAAAATTTTAACTGGATTCAATATAATTTGTTTGGAAGCAGAGCAATGAACAATGCCATCCAAAAATGATTTTAAAATGCTTGAGTGCATAAAAGATTAACCTTCCAATGTATCAAATATAAAATTATAATACCTATGTTAGCTATAGTGGAATTAAAATAAAAATAAAATAAAATTATAATATCTAATCTGAACCTTCTTTCATCGACTAGGAAAGGTTAGAAAGGAAACAGATGTGGAATGAAGTAATCCTCAAACTTAGTCATTATTTAGACTAGATATGAGCAGCAGTGATAATGGAGGGGGAACTACCTTTTTTAATAATAATTACATCACCATTAACCTTAAGAAATATATTTCTGAAAATTGTCTAAAATGCTGAAATCAAACAGATTCCAGAATTCATAATCTCACCACAATGACTTGGGACAGTAAATTATAACCTCTCTTTTACTTTTTAATAATGAGAATTCCTTTATAGCTTTCAAAAGACCATAATCTATTTCTACCAAAAAATGAAAAATATTCGTATTTCTAAATATAAAGAGAACAAGATTTAATCAGCCAGCTTACTTTTGACATTCTGCCGAAAGTTTTAGTTCTTTGGTTCTAGAAAGGAAGACCTTAATTAGCGCACCAAGGTTTCCTGTTCGAGGGTTGTTTACAACTGCAAGAGAAGATAAGGTTTTAAAAAGTTAAAATTAAAAACTGAAATCAAAGTGAATATATTATAGCATCTGTAAAACCAAGTTGTCAAATTGAAGTTGCTCCATAGACAAACCTTATGGTACTTTCACATCTAATTAGGAAAATAAATAATGAGAGAAATTGCTGCTTGGTCTTAATTCTGAACAAAAAATGATTCGCAAACTGAAAATGAAAGACACAGTAGAAGAAAGTAGCCAATTCATCTCAGAATTCAGAATTATTAAGAAAAGAGATGAGTTGATATATACTCAATTTATACACATATATATTTTTCTTTAGAATAGCAAATGTTAGGGATGCCTGGGTGGCTCCGTCAGTTAAGCGTCTGACTCTTGATCTTAACTCCGGTCTTGATCTCAGGGTCGTGAGTTCAAGCCCCATGTTGGGCTCCAAGAATGTGGGGGACGAAAAGAAAAAGAAAAAGAAAAAGAAAGAAAAGCAAATGTTAAAAAACAAAAAACAGTGTAAGACTGATGAATCACAGACTTGTACCCCTGAAACAAATAATACATTATATGTTAATAAAAAAAAAGTAAAAAAAAAAAAAAAAAGATCCCCAGTATATAGAATACAATAAACTATAATGGTAAAACTCTGCTCAGATGATAATCATAAGTCATTCTAACGAAAAATAAACAGAAACATAAGGCAATATGGCGAGGGAGAAGCTATTTGATCAGAAAAAATTTTAAAGAATTTGTTTAAAAAAATTTTAAGTTGAAAGGTGGGCATTTCAGCAAATCCAGCCAAAGAACTAAGCAGATACTGTCATGAGAATCAGAAGATCTGATTTCTAGATCAAGTCTATAATTAACAGAATATTAAAACTCAAGTTACTTTTCTTCTCCAACCTCATTTTTCTCAACAAAAGAAACAGACACTGACTAATATACACCAAGTGCTTTATACACATCATCTCATTTAATCCTTAAAACCAACTATGGGAGATAAACACCAATATCACCTCCATTGAACAGATCCTCGGGTCTATGTTGCTACTGCTCAAGAACACATCCTTATCTACTGGTTCCAACTCTTGCCTCTAAAATGCTGAGCTATACCAACCCCTATAATCAAGAAATTAGGCTTAATGAAAATATAAAGTTCTATCAGTCTGCACAGTAAGACATATGTGATGGTTAATTTTATGTATCAACTTGACTGGACCACAGGATGCCAAGATACCTGGTTAAACATTATTTCTGGATGTTGTGTGAAGGTGTTCCTGCACTTTAATTTTCAAGTGAGTAAAGCAGACTGGCCTCTCCAAAGTGGGTGGGCATCATCCAACACATTAAAGGCCTGAACAGAACAAAAGTCAGAGGAAGTCTGAATCCTCTCTCTCTGCCTAACTGTTGAGCTAATACATTGGTCTTCTGCCCTTGGACAGGGACATACAACACTGGCTCTTATGGTTCTCAGATCTTTGCACTTGAACTGGAATTTACACCATTAGCTTTACTGGGTCTCTGGATAACCCTAATACATCATATAAGGACAAAAGAACCCATCAGAGTTAGAGTATTATGCTAAGTGGAGTAAGTCAGAGAAAGACAAGTACCATATGATTTCACTCATCTGTGGAATTTAAGAAACAAAACAAACAAGGAAAGGAAAAAAAAAAGAGAGAAAGAGAGGCAAACCAAGAAATAGACTCTTAACTACAGAGAACAAACTGCTGGTTGGCGGTGGGGGGGCGGGGGTTGATGGGTGAAATAGGTGATGGGATATTAAGGAGTGCACTTGTTTTGATGAGCACCAGGGGTTGTATGGAAGTGCTGGATCCCTGTATTGTACGTGTGAAACTAATATTACACTGCATGTTAACTAACTGGAATTTAAATAAAAACTTTAAAAACTCATCAGAAGAGAGAGACTCTTTAGTCAGAACCTTTAATTTTACTAATGAAGAAAAAGAGGGCACCTGGGTGGCTCAGTCAGTTAAACATCTGCCTTCGGCTCAGGTCATGGTCCTGGGATTGGGCCTTGCATTGCGCTCCCTGCTTAGCGGGGAGCCTACCTCACCCTCTGCCTCTGCCCCTCCCCCTATGCGTGCTCTTGTGTGCGCGTGCACACACACTCTCTCTCTCTAATAAATAAATAAAATCTTTAAAAAGAAAAAAAAGAAAAAGAGACCCAGAAAGGTTAAGTGTTGAGCCCAAAGTCAACAGTGTCAGTGACAAATGCCCAGTCTTTTTGCTTTACAAATGGTTTTCAAACTGTGAGATTCCAGAGTTCTGAATATTTTTCTCTTTTGAAATATATTTTTAACTGTTTTGAAAAATGGAAATGCAAACACGCAAACACACTGGCCTATGCTGCCAGAAAAATTCATGTTTATGCAGACCTGAGGTTTATGCTTTTGCCGCCATCTCTATGCATGTATTTGAACTTCTTGAAAATGTGTCAAAGATTTGGAAAGACGTACCAAGCTTCAGTTACATTTTAAATATTTTAAAATCCTGGTATGTACATACATACTTTAAAAAATCATGCATGGGAATAAGTACACCATTACAGCATACCTGCTTTGTGCTCAATAACTGTCAAGTTAACTCAGATCTACCTGCTGGGTAGGTGTTCTTGTCACAGCTTGAGTCAATGCAAGTTACTGTGTAACTTTCTCATTGTGATGAAACACTAGCACCTTGCTAATCAACTGTGGTTCACAGAGCAGTGGCAAGAGCATTATCTGGGATCCCGCTGGACGTGCAGAATACCAGGTCCACTACCCTGCGCCTACTGAAGTTAACAGTGCTTCCCAAAGTCTAATGCGCCTTTAAATCACAAGGCAGTCTTATTAAAGTTTAAGTTCTGATCTTGCCTGTGTCAAGTGGAAACTGAGATTCTGCAACAGTCTCTCCCAGGCGATGCCCCTTATTGCTGGATGGAGAAGAACCCCACTGTGAGCAGGAAGGTGCAGCGTGTGCTGGAAGTTAGGGCAGATTGTGTCCAGCTTTTATCCTCAAGAATAGATATCTAATTACATATAAAATCTTGAAACAAAAATTTCCTACTTCTCTTTCAAGCTTTGGAGTTTAATGAGAGAATATCCTGAGATTTCAGGATAAACTGTTTAATAAAAAACAGTTAATGTTTGCCAGTGCCTCTCTGCGTGAATTAGTATTACTGAGCTATTGTAAATCAAAACAAAATACTGAAACAAAGAATTGAGGATGATATGACTATAAACATTAATTCAGAATCCCAACTTCACAACCTTGTGTTCATTCAACAGCTCCTTTATTACTGAATGACTTTATAAGTAATTGTTTGAATTTATAAATGGCTAGCTATTCAAAACCAAAACCAAAACAAAACAAAACAACCCCATGTTGTTGGAAACGGTAACCAGCTACTGGATTGATGTAATTAAAGCTTCATACACCTTTTTCATGCGTTCATTCAGCATGTATTTGTTGAGCTACTTATATGTACCCAGCACTGTTTCGGGTACTAAGAAGATACTTAGAACACCGGGTCTTAATGGAGCTGACATTCTAACACGATTAAATTTTCACAGTACTCTTAGGCAAGATGTAGAGGGGAAAGTAAACTAAGAAGATAAAGTATGCTCCCTGATGTTTAAACACCACCACCCAACGGTAGACTCGATATTCTAAAATACCTTGATGGAATTTAACAGGATCAAAGTTAATTGGTAAAAATCAAATGTGATGGGGCACCTCAGTGGCTCAGTCGGTTGAGCACCCAAGTCTTGATTTCGGCTCAGGTCATGATCTTGGGGTCATGAGTTTGAGACCCACGTCAGGCTCTGGCCTCGGCAGGGAGTCTGCTTGGAATTCTCTCCCTCACCCTCTGTCCCTCCTACCCCTGGCACGCACTTTCTCTCTCTCTCAAATAAACAAATAAATCTTAAAAAAAAAAAAATCAAATGTTATGTTGAGGTTGAATAAGCTTCAGGAGCCAGAGCAGGAATGGGATAGCTGACAGGAAGGCAGAAAAGCAGAATGGAACTAGACTACAGAGTCTGACTACGTTCAAATCCCAGCTCCACCGACTAGCTGTGACACCTAGCAACTTACTTCACCTCCCCACGCCTCAGGGTCCTCAACTATTAAGTTAAGATAACAATGGTACTTAAATTAAAAACTAACTCATTTGACACTAGAACTTGAACTTGTAGCAATCTGTTAACTTAAGCAGCTTTTGTGTAAAGAAGGGACTTCCCTATCTCTACAGGAGTTCAAGCAAGGTCTGAATAACACTCAGATAAGGGTATTATAAAGAGAATCTCCATCTGGGTGAGAGATTGGACTTGCTTCCAGCCCCTGAAACAACCTTTCCCAATATTTCACTAAAATACCCCTGTGTCCCCAAATCCAATACCAAATATACAGAAAATATAGAGGACAGAGACAGGTTAATAATCCATGGTGATGCAATCAACAAAATTTACATTGTGGCAAACTCTACTACCCACTTTCTTCCATAAATAGAGAGGAGAAAAGGAAGACAGAGACAATTGCAGGAGGAAATTAGTTATGAAAAGAATCATAAAGACATACCAATAATAACCAATAATAACATAGAGACTTTATATGGTTCCTGATTCACAAAAACTAAAACAATTAGAAATTTGAACACTCGGTGGCTATTTTACTATGCTAAAAATTGTCTTCTATTGAGATAACGGTATTGCTCTCCCTTAAAAAAATTCTTATGAGATATATACTATTTATGGGTGAAATGATATAACCCCTAAGGTCTGTATCCAATATGTGAGAACACTCTGCTTTCTGTTGTTTGTTTTGTATATCCTTTTCAGTTGTCAGCTTTCCTGTACATATTTCATACTTTCATGTATTATCGGTGGAATGTAACGGTGAGAGATACAGATGAGGACTGCCCATGAGGTGAAAATGAGTGAAACTGGAAGATGAGCTTACAGCCCTTTACTACGTTATTTGGCCCTCATTTCTAGAAGTATGAAACTTTTAAAAATCAAACACCCATGAAAACATACAAACAGATACAAGTTCACAGAAATGCTAATTCCAGATAGTCCTTCTTCCCCTAAAAACAGAGAACTCTTTCACTAACTACGGAGTTTATAGAACTGATATAAGTATTTATTTGGTAATCAATGGACAGTTAACAAGGGTAACTGCTTGAAAGTACCTCTGAGGACAAAATCTCCCCCTACTCACTGTCTACTCCAACCAGAAAACTCACCTCCTACCAAGTCACTTTCTACACCAACTCTGAGGCTACAACCCCCGGAAAACAACTGGGAAGAAAGAAACACACCAGACACAGAACAATATGTGCTGTTGTTCAGCAACATGTTGTTCAGGGAGAAAAAATGTTGATCCAGATGTTCAATCCAGGAATTTTATAATTCCCTCACACTCCAAAGCCAAGGAGTAAGCGTAAAGGAAGGTCCCACCTTAAACCAAGCAAAACCTATACAAAATAAAATCTTCTTGGGTTCTAGAAATTAGGTTGGAAAAGAGTATCATCCTGCCTTCAGGCTAAAATTAACAGCAGATTCAAAAAGCATCTACAGGATCCACATGAGGGGCAAGGTTAAGAAGCGCACCCTCTCTGACAGCAAACACTGTGCCTACATGGGTACTCCCTGTACCTTTACTCTGCTTTATTTTTCTGAAGAGACATGTTACATGAAAGAGGTACACTTATGATCTGACTCCTCTACTCAGACAGATCCATGAGGTTGGGAATCCAAGTCAGTCCTGTTTGTCAGAATATAGACTACATTATGGAATATATAGCACAGGGTATAGGAAAGAGCCTATAATTTGGCAGGTTCTCAATAAATATTTGCTGGTTTAATGAATAAGAAAAAACAGTAACACTGGGGTAAGGAATAGGTTATGCTAAAATTTCAGCCAAAGAGCTGAATCAAAACTATCAAACGGGGGCGGAGCCTGGCTGGCTCAGTCAGTAGAGCATGTGCTCCTGATCTCGGGGTTGTGAGTTTGAGCCCCACATTGGGTGTGGAGCCTACTTTAAAAAAATAAAGTATTGGGGTGTCTGGGTGGCTCAGTTGGTTAAGTGTCTGCCTTCAACTCAGGTCATGATCCCAGAGTCCTAGATCAAGCCCCACATCAGGCTCCCTGCTCAGAGGAGAGCCTGCTTCTCCCTCTGCCCCTCACCCCACTCATTTCTTGCATGCTCTCTCACACTATCTCAAATAAATAAATAATTAAAAAATAAAGTATTTTTGGGGGCGCCTGGGTGGCTCAGTTGTAAAGCGTCTGCCTTTGGCTCAGGTCATGATCCCGGGTTTCTGGGGTCCCGCATTGCATGGGGCTCCCTGCTCCGCAGGAAGCCTGCTTCTCCCTCTCCCATTACCCTTTCTTGTGTTCCCTCTCTCGCTATATCTCTCTCTGTCAAATAAATAAATAAAATCTTTAAAAAATAAAAAAATAAAGTATTTTTTTAAAAAACTGTCAAATGAATTTAGTAACAAGCATCATCAGTGGAAAATGAGAAAATCATCTATTTAAAAAAGAAAAAACCCAGAAAGCCACTGGGAAAAATGAGTATAATGAAAAGAGAGCAGTTTGACATCCAGGAAAAACAAAGAATGATTAAAAACAAACCAAAAAATGAAATAACTAAAAGATGCACTAGAATCTTGACAGAACTGATATGTATAAAATACTGCATCAAAGACATAAAGGAGTAAATTTAAGAAATGAAAGACAACAAAGAAAAAGAAGATACAGAAAGCAAAGGAGAGAGATCCAACCTGAACGTTAACAGGTGATCCTAAGTTGGGGGAGAAGAAACTCAAACACAAGTAAAATCAAAGCCATTACTATAGAAAACTTCAGAACTGAAAAAGACCTTAATAAACCAATAAAAAAAAAAACTCATCAAATCACAGGCAAAATCATAAAGAAAAAAGTATAATGAGGAACACTTACTCATAATGGTTAAAGGAAAAAGTCTAATGAACGAAGAAGAAAAAAAAATAAGGGTCCTCTCAGGTAACCATATACAAAAATAAGTTTGAAATGGATTAAAGACCTAAGTACAACCTGAAACCATAAAACTCCTAAAAGAACACACAGGCAGATTTGGAGTTCAGTCTTAGCAATATTTTTTTGGATCTGTCTCCTCAGGTGAGGGCAACAAAAGCAAAAAATAAACAAGTGGGACTATATAAAACTAAAAAGCTTCTGCACAGTGAAGGAAACCATGAACAAAGTGAAAAGGCAACCTAGTGAATGGCGGAAGATATTTGCAAATGATATATCCAATAAGAAGTTAATATTCTTTTTTTTTTTTAAGAAGTTAATATTCTTATTGGGTGTGGCTTGGTCAGTGGAGGATGTGCCTCTTGATCTCAGTGTTATAAGTTCAAGCCCCGCACTGGGTATAGAGATTACTTAAAAATAAAATCATTTAAAAAAAAAGTTAATATTCAAAATATGTAAAGAATTCATATGTAAAGAAAAATGTAAAGAACTCAACACCAAAAAAACCACATCTGATTAAAAAAGAGGCTGAAGACCCAAATAGACATTTTTATGTGTATGTCCTCCCAAGAGGACATACACATGGCAAACAGACAAGAAAAGATACTCAACATCACTAGTCATCAGGGAAATGTAAGTCCAAATCACAATGAGATTTCACCTCACATCTGTCAGCATGGCTAAAATAAAAACGACAAGAACTAGCAAGTGCCGGCCAGGATGTGGAGAAAAGAGAACCTTTGTGCCCTATTGGTAGGAAATGTAAACTGGTGTAGCTATTGTGGAAAACAGTATGAAGGTTCCTCAAAAAAATTAAAAACAGAACTACCATATGACCCAGCAATTCCATTTCTAGGTATTTATCTGAAGAAAACGAAAACACTAACTTCTCAAAGATATCTGCACCCCCAGGTTCACTGCAGCACCTACAATAGCCAAGATATGGAAGCAGCCCAGGTGTCCACTGATGGATGAAGAGGATGTGGTATATATATACAATGGAATAGTACTCTGCCATAAACAAGAATGAAATCTTGCCATCTGTAATAACATGGATGGACCCGGAGGGTACTGTGCTAAGTGAAAGAAGTCTGAGCAAGACCAATACTGTATGATTTCACTTATATGTGAAATCAAAGAAAAAGAAAAAAAAAATCAAACAAAACAGACTTGTAAATATAAAGAACAAAGTGGTAGTTGCTGGGGGCAGTGGTGGGTGGAGGAGGGAATAACTGAAATAGGTGAAGGGGATTAAGAGGTACAAACTTCCAGTTATAAAATAAGTAAGTCACAGGGATTGTAAAGTAAAGCATAGGAAACAGAGTCAATAATATTGTAACGTCTGTGTATGAGGACAAACTTATCATGGTGAGCATTTCGTAATGTATATAAATGTCAAATCAAAATCAAATCACTATGTTGCACACCTGAAGCTAATGTAACATTGTATGTCAACTATTCTTCAATTAAAAAAAAAAGAACAAGCTGAAAAAGTATGGCTTAGCAGAGTCCATTACCACTCCTGCAAGTAAGCTAATAAGCATGTGTCTTATTCCTATTGACTAAATATTCCCTTCTAGTGGCATCATTGAGCACCATGAATAGAATTATTATTAAATACTATCATCAAGAATATGTCACTTCATTAATTCAATTCATATTACACTACCAAAATTTATAACAAATTTTGAAATAAATGCCACACACATACATCTACACACATGCTCATTTTGCCTCTTACCTAAAGACCTGCAGACTGAAATGGTTGCTTCTTCCAAAAGCTTCAGCTCGGTGCTGGAGAGACAGAAGAAAAGTAATTAATAACTACAACACTAAATATGTACATGCTAACCAGTTAAAGGAATATATAAAAATAAAGAGAAAAACAATTTAGGAGGAAAATATGGTATATAGTGGTAAACAATAAAATCAACAAAATAAAGTTAAGCTTCTATTTTCAATATAACTAGAAAATGTACTATAATTCTCAATATGAGATTCCTGAAACAGAAGCACTCAAGGAGCCCTGCCTTTCAGGCACTGGGGTAGGGGGAAGGGAGGAGTGGAGAGACTTAGAAAAATGCAAGAAAGTCACTCCAAAGTACCAAGCACAGAGCAGGGGCCCCAGCTGCCCAGTTCTAAGGGCAGTACCAATCATGGGGTTATAGTTATTTGGGGAAAATGCCATTATTTTTAGGAGATACATGGAATCTCATGATATCTGCAATACCTTCAAAGAGATCAACAACAAAGAAAGGAACAAGTCAAGAAGAGAGAACATATACATAAGCTTCAATAATTTATAAACATATAGGAAAATGGAAACAGATGCAAAGTGACAAAGAGGAGGTATAGACACAGACAGACATAAAACTCAGAAAAAAAACATAGGGGAAGGCTTTATGACATTGGATTCGGCAATGAGTTCTTGGATATGACACCAAAAACAAAGACATTAAAAGAAAAAACCTGTAAGTTGGGCTTTCCCAAAATTAAAAGCTTCTGCACATCAAAGGATACTATCACAGAGTGAAAAGTCAACCCAACAGAATGGGAGAAAATATTTGCGATTCATGTATTTAATAAGAGACTGATACCCGGAACATACAAAAACAAAAACACAAAAAATCTCTGACTCAACAACAACAACAAAAAAAAAACCCCACAAAAACAATCCAACTTAAAAATGGGCATAGGATTTAAACAGACATTTCTCCAAAGAATACATACAAAAGGCTAACAGGTATGTATGAAAAGATGTGCAACAACACTAGTTATTAGGGAAATGTAAATCAAAACCACAACGAGATACCACTTTCACTCCTATTAAAATGGCTATTAAAAAAAAAGGAAAGAAAGAGAAAGTAAATGTTGAAGGGGATGTAGAGAAATGGGGACCTTTGTGCATTGCTGGTGAGCATGCAAAATGGTGCAGGCGCTATGAAAAAGAGTATGGCAATTTCTCAAAAAATTAAATATAAAATTACTATGTGTTCAAGCAATTCCATTTCTGGATTTACATATACCCACAAAGGATTGAAAACAGGGATTCAAACCGGTATCTGTATAACATGTTCACCATTATTCACAATAGCCAAAAGTAAAAGCAACCAAAGTGTCCATCAATGGATGAATCATGGTACAAAATGTGGTACATCCATACAATGAAATATATTCAGCCTTAAAAATTAGGAAAGAAATTCTGACACGTTACAACATAGATAAACCTTGAAGACATTATGCTAAGTAAAACAAACCAGCCACAAAAAGACAAATACTGCATGATTCCACTTACATAAGGCTCCTAGTAGAGTAGTCAAATTCACAGAGAAGAAAGTAGAATGGTGGTTGCCAATGGTGGAGGTGGAGGCAAGGGAGATGGGAAGTTAGTGTTTAATGGGTAGAGTTTCAGCTTGGGAAGATGAAAAAGTTCTGGAGATGTGAACAGATTTAATGCCACAGAAGTGTCCACTTAAAAATGGTTAAAATGAGGGGTACCTGGGTGGCTCAGTCAGCTAAGTGTCCAACTCTTGGTTTTGGCTCAGGTCATGATCTCAGGGGCGTGAGATCGAGACCCGTATCGGGCTCTGCACTCAGCGTGGACTCTGCTTGAGATTCTCTCTCTCTCTCCCTCTGTCCCTCCCCACCCTGCGTGCTCTCTCCCCTAAAATAAATAAATCTTTCTTTTAAAAAAATGGTTAAAATGATCAATTTTAGGGCGCCTGGGTGGCTCAGTTGGTTAGGCGACTGCCTTCGGCTCAGGTCATGATCCTGGAGTCCCGGGATCGAGTCCCACATCGGGCTCCCTGCTCAGCGGGGAGTCTGCTTCTCCCTCTGACCCTCTCCCCTCTCATGCTATCTCATTCTCTCTCTCAAATAAATAAATAAAAAATCTTTTAAAAAAAAAATAATCAATTTTATGTTGCGTGTATTTTGCCACAATTAAAAAAAAAAAGCACATTCCAATTCCAGCTCAACTAGTTAAGAGCTACGTGACCTTCGGCTAGTTTCTTTTTTTTTTTTTTTTAAAGATTTTATTTATTTATTTGACAGAGATAGAGAGAGCACAAGTAGGCAGAGAGGTAGGCAGAGGGAGAGGGAGAAGCAGGACTCAATGTGGGACTCGATCCCAGGACCCTGGGATCATGACCTGAGCTGAAGGCAGCCGCTTAACCAACTGAGCCACCCAGGCGCTTGGGATAGTTTCTTAAGTCTCGATGTCTTCATGTCCTCATCTATTTGACAGAGATGATAATGAGCCTGCTCCACAAGCATCGTCATCATTAAATCACCTAACGCATACGAAGTGCTTACAACAGTGTCCGGCACAAAATAAAGCCTCAGGAAATGATAGCTAGTACTGATTCCAAAATGTAGTGGGTTTTCCCCCCAGTTAATTAAAATAATGCTTTATGCTTGTATAACCTTTTAAAGGTTTTTCACAGCACTTTCAAATTTATTAGCACATTTAAATCCCATGATGACCTCTTCTAATAAGCAGAGCAGTCATAAACCCTCTTTTTATGTATACCTAAATACATATGGAATGTATTATTAAAATTGATTTCACCTGCTTCACTCTTCTAATGTGGTTGTTGGAAAACTTTAAATTACATGAGTCTCCTCTTGTATTTGCATGAGAGCCACTCTAGAACCTGTCTCCTGACAAATGAAGACAGTATCATGTCTAAGTATTATACACACACACAAAACTAAAACCTGTTCATTACTTCAGGGAACATGCCATTACCTTAGGAATCTCAAATTATATTCACATTCAAAAAAGATAAATGTCTTTTCAAAGTTAAATCTGTAAGTTTCTCCCAAGATGGAAGATTTTTTAAAGCAAAATAACCCAGAAATGATCCTACAATAAAGCGTGTATGGGTCTCTAGTCTTTGTCACTGTATTTTTATTTACAAAAATATTTTTAGTCTGCATCTGTCAGTCTGCTGATCTCCCCATCCTTTTCTCCCACTTCCCACCTAACAGGGTTGTTCAGCATGGCCCCACTCCCTGGCCACTGCTGACTTCATCAGGGATAGAAATCTAATGTAAGCCACTCCAGTCTTGGGCAATCCGGATCCGAGATGGAAAGACAGGTTTTCCATACACCTGGAACTTGGCTGCAAAGCTAAGGGTTACGGGAAAACATCTTCTATCCACTGAGAAGCAGAAAAAGCCAGTTAGTAAGAAAAATGAATAAAAGAGCTTTGAGGAGAAAAGCAGAGACTAACAAAGTACTCTCGGGATTCCTGCTGGCCTTCCAATTCCTGGAGTTCGTTCTTCCTAAAGCCTAGCTATGTTCTCAATCTTGGATTCAATGAGACATCCCTGTCTCTTCATCACATACGCCCCTCTCTCCGGCATATGCTAAGTCAAATTGATTTTTGTTAAGAACCAAAAGACTTCTAATTAATAAATCACTGTGGTCAGATTTAATAATATACATTAGTAATTGGCAAGAAGGAGAAACTATGAATTACTCAATTTATTGGTTACTCAGGCAAAAAATAAAAGAGGTATAAATACAAAAGACTGTAAATAGCTTTATGAGGTTAATAACTAAACCACATGCATAAAACCTGTTCCAGTGGTGCTTCTACTTTCTTCAGTCAATAACACTTTCTTAAAACTGGCTGGAACCAACAGCTTCAATTATATACATGTGGCTACAACCTTCGAAAGCTTCTAAGTCTGTTCATTCAGCAAACACTGCCTGGATGCTCAGGACACGCCAGGTTCTCTGAAAGATGCTGCCTCTGCCTTCAGGTTACATGTAGAAATAAAGAAGTAGACAGACTATTTGGTGGAGGGGAAACACCAAGATCAAGGCCAGCCCTTGTGTAAGCTCATGGGTGGTGCATCCAACCTACCCCAGGAGCAGTCAAGGAAGGCATCGCCAAGGAAGCAACTGCAAAAGAAGTCAGTCTGGCAGACAAAGGGGAGGGCTTTCCAGACATGACAACAACGCATGCAAAAAGCATGGCCATCACAGAGAGCCAGGCACATTCTGGGAAGCAGAGGTTAATCTACACTGGAGAATGGCAAACCAGAATACTAGAAAAGTATACTAAATGGCTTAAGTCTGGAGCTCAGTTTCTCAACTTGTTCTCAACAGAAAGGCATTGAACGGTCCCAAAACAGGGTTCTGATTTATTTTTCATACAATATTAGCCTGAAAAAATGATTAATTCCAACATCTATTAGTGAGGCTGGTTTGGACATCACTTTCGCCAAGAAATCTTTGATCACGTAAGACCAGGTCTCTGGTCTCTGCCCCAAAAACACCCAATTATAAAACTGAGTAGTTGGTAGCAACATTGCCCAATTCCTTGTCTGTGCCTCCCTCCGCTCCACAATTGTGGGCTCCTCGTTCATCATGGCATTCCCAGCCTGGTAAAAAGCAGGCACATAATAAAAATGTCCTGACTGAGTGAATGCCATTGTCAGAGGACAAAACTAATTATTTCCCCCTGTTCCTCCAGAAACACTTCATATTCTCCAGCCCTCGAGGCAAGGTCTGCCCCAAAGCTTAAATTTTCATTAAAATATTTTTTTAAATATGCTTATTTAATTCCAAGTGTGAAATAAAATCTCTTTCTGAAGCAGTCTGATTTCTTTGTCACTCAAGGATGAAGAGACGGGAAAGGCGGGGAATTAGCCCACCTCTCTTGGAAAGCTCCCTCTTGCAGTAAGCCGGCCAGCACGTGCCAGTCTGCAATCAGGCCCGGCAGGCCCGATCTCAAAGAGCACCACTGCCACGGCCTCCTCACAATCACCCCTTCAGGTCA